AATAACGTCCGATAAGGTATTTCAGAATTAAGATGTTAACGTATTGATAACGGAATCGAAACATTTTAGTAGATGGGGGCTGGAGTGACTATGGAGACTGGACAATGTGCTCTGAGAAATGTGGTGGAGGAATCCGTTTCCGGATGAGAACCTGCACAAATCCTGCTCCTGCTCACGGCGGAGCTGACTGTGAGGGAGAAAACATGGAAACTTTATCTTGCAACACTGGTGCCTGTCCAGGTAAAGTCTGTTCTACAGTATACTTCATTGTATCATGAAAAGTTAAATTCAAGTTATGGATGTATTAAAGTTAGGCTTCAAAGTGTGTGGTAACTATGCCCTAAGCGGCCCTAATGACGATTGGTAAAGGTAATGTCTGAACCTTATCGGACTTTATTTGAACGGATATTAATTGGACGCTGGAGGCCCTAGCGTTCATTTTAATGTCCGTTCAAATAAAGTCTGACAAGGTAGTCAAATTAAATACATTAAATGAATGCCTTCGATTGTTCATTTTAATGTCCGTTCAAAATTATGTCCGTTCACGTAATGTCCGGTAAAATAACGTCCGATAAGGTATTTCAGAATTAATATATTGACGTATTGATAACGGAATCAAAACATTTCAGTAGATGGGGGCTGGAGTGACTATGGAGACTGGACAATGTGCTCTGAGAAATGTGGTGGAGGAATCCGTTTCCGGATGAGAACCTGCACAAATCCTGCTCCTGCTCACGGTGGAGCTGACTGTGAGGGAGAAAACATGGAAACTTTATCTTGCAACACTGGTGCCTGTCCAGGTAAAGTCTGTTCTACAGTATACTCCATTGCATCATGACAACTACAAGTTAAATTCAAGTTATGGATGTAATAAACTTTGGCTAGAAGTGTGCGATAAGTGGTAACTGTGCTTTAAGCGGACCTAATGGCAAAGGTAATTGAGTTTCCTTGTTTATTTTCAATTTTACTATCTCAGATTGCGAGGCACTGCCTTCAGAATGGTTAGAGATTGAGACAGAATCCTCACTACCAGTTCCAGACAGCACGGAAATAAGGTTAAAGTGTGTGAAGCATCACGTGAATCTAGGGGGAAGAGACGCCACCTGCCGAGACGGGCAGATAGTCCCTGATAATGAACCTCCACTATGTTCAAATCCAAGTAGGTTCATTCGGGTCTACAAGGGAGCATTAAAATATTTATAGTTATAGATAAGTATGAATGTTTAATGTTTTATATATATAGATAACTTTCATACTCCTATTTAGGGAGAATAAGAGTATGAAATGTTATACTATAAATCGAACAAAACTTATTCAAGGTAATTCTTGACGGATGTTACTCGTATAAATTTCTTCGAAGTAGCGCACGCCGCTTTCTTCTCGAAATATGGCCTGATGGCAAGTGCTACGAAGTAGCGCGCGCCGGGCCAGACCATTAACAATGGTCAAGGTAATTCATTTGTATAATTTATTTCAATACAACAGAAACTGAAATAATGATGAACAATATTTTATTGTTAAATATGATCAAATTTCTGGTTCAAGTTTTTCTTCCATAGTTTTCACGGTTGTTCACTCTTAGACACCTCCTTCAAAAATGGGTACGTAATTGTAAGCTCGTGTTTATACTTTATGTTATACTGGCGTCACTTCCGTTGTCATAAATACATGAAAACCGACTTTATCAAATAAACTGAAAGAAGGAGGTTTACCACCATTTAGCCACTTATTGAACAGCAAGTTTAACTTTGTTCCTTGGTATAGTCCATAATTATTTAAGAGTTATTTTCCTGTTACCCTGGGCTATCTCAAAATCATTATCTACATAATACGAGATAATATTATCTACATAATATTATCATCGTTTATAGCACACGTCCTCACGATCTAGAAGACCATTACCTACGTAATAGCCTAGGGCAACAGGTTAATAACTCTTAAATAATTATTTTGAGCCCTAGAGTAGGGACAAGGGAGGGACCATTAGCGAACAGAGCGACGCCCTTAAGAAAAATATCATTGTCCACTCAGCTCAAGCAACAAGTTATTTGCCCAATCCTTGCACAAGAGGGACCCCATTTAAAGTTAGCAATTAAGCAGACGTAGCCTCCATATTATACAGCACGTGCCCTACGAGGACCATTACCTACGTATCATCGTTTTTAGCACACGTCCTCACGATCTAGAAGAACATTTACTCTATTATATTTATACAGCACGAGCCCTACCATTATCTACGTATCATCGTTTTTAGCACACGTCCTCACGATCTAGAAGACCATTTACTCTCGACCATTTATTCTAGACGATAGTGTTTGACTTATCATTAATTTTGAGAACCATTTTCTAATCCTACAACTTTCTGCACAAATAATCTTCACAAATTCATGTTGGATTTCAAAAATAATAACAATCGTGGCACAGATATGAAATTTAGTAAGTGTTTGTACATAATAGTGCGCGGTTATACACTATACAATGATATAACAACAGGATTGCTATCTCAGCGTTCAGGTCTACGCATTATTCCGGTCTAACCGTCAGAATTGCAACTTAGTCTACCTCTATCTGCTCTATCAAGGTTAACTCACATCAAAATAACGATGTTGCTTTGTTTGTTCGTAAGGCACGTAAGGGTCGACCGAGGCCGAGGGCAGGATTTGCGACGAGACCGAGGCCGAGGAAATTTTGCTTTGATAAAACCGAGGCCGAGGACAACCGAGGTTTCATTTTGTTGGCCGAGGAAAAATCGCTATTCCTCGGTAAAACCGAGGCCGAAGACTCGGTAGACCCTTGAAGGCACGTGAGGCACGTGCTCGTAAGGCACGTGCTCTATATGGAGGCTACGTCTGCTTTATTACTAACTTCAAATGGGGTCCCTCTGGTGCAGGTATTGGGCAAATAACTTGTTGCTTGAGCTGAGGATTACTCGGCTAAGAGGATGGTTTGGCAGAGTTGACAATGCTATTTTTCTTAAGGGCGTCGCTCGGTTCGCTAACGGTCTCTCCCTTGTCCCTACTCTGAGGCTAAGAATTATAATCAGAGTGCACGGTGTTGTTTGTGAGACTAAGAGTAAGGGGTTAAACTTTCTTTGATGATATGGTGTTCTGTTTACCGTAGAGATGCTTTTATCCCGCATTTCTGTGACAGAATGAATATTTGAATTCGATTTTTTCAATCTACATAGTAGTTTTATAGAGTGTACAAGTTGACAAGTTATTTTCACATTTCCTGTTGTTAAAATTGTACGCCCGAAGCTCAAGATAACCCATACTATTCAGAAATGAACCGAGTTCTTTCAATTCCAATATTGTTTATGACAATGCTTCAAAGGTGTCTTACTTCAGGTTTGAACTAAATTGAGATTTAACAGATACTCTCAAACTAAGAGTGTTTATAAACTCGAGACCTATTTCAATTGGTGTATTGAAAGACAAACAACCTTAAACATGCTAGCATTCAGCGGAATACAAATTTACAACGACTTTTAAAAAGTAAGGTGACCACATAATCTTTTTTCAGGTGAATCGTGTTTTGGAGCCTTTGCAACTGACAGGAGGTCGGATCCACCTTCTACAGGAAATTTGGGATCTATCCCCTACATCTCTGATCAGGAGTGCTTTGATGCTTGCTTGGCTAAGCAAGGGTAAGTTAATATCCGCAGTTTAATTGTATGTTTTTAATCGAATTTTGATATATTATTATTTCTTATCTTTGAATTGATTTCACTGATAATGGAAATAAGCTGACAAGGTTTTAAATACAACCTTTTTAGATGTGTAGCAGTTAATCGGGCCCCCTTAAATTGGGACCCGATTGAGGTCAACTGTTTCTTCATCCCAGCGGGCTATGAACTGGAAGAGGACCAGGATTGGAGCTCAGCAAAGCGAACTTGCTGCGTGGCTCTGCCTTCAGATTGGTTAGAGGTTGAGACAGAATCCTCACTACCAGTTCCAGACGGCACGAAAATAAGGTTAAAGTGTGTGAAGCATCACGTGAATCTGGGGGGAAGAGACGCCACCTGCCGAGACGGGCAGATAGTCCCCGATGACAAATCTCCACTATGTACAAAACCAAGTAGGTTATTTAGCTACTAGTGTAACCCGTGCCTACGGCCGGGACTTCACTATTGCAGTTGAAATGCAAAAGTATAAACCCGCCTATTATGTTTTAAAAAACGCATTACATGTTCGCAGTTAAAACGGTGCGAAAGTATGAAATCGCTCAGTCCAGACAGACAGACAGACACATTTATTGAGATTATTAGTATTAAGTAGGTATCATAGGCTTAGAAGGTTGAACTGCTGACAATTGACTCCAGTGTAATTACATAGGGGTCAATTGTCGTACTAAGCCCTAGATTTCGCGACAATTGACCCCAGTGTAATTACATAGGGGGTCAATTGTCGGGGGGTCAATTGTCGGGGGTCAATTGTCGCGGTACTCTTCACAAAGCACTTCTTAAATATTTATTTTAAATTCATACTTATTAAGGGAGCTGTCACAAATGATGACTTCTGGGGAGAGGCTTAAACAAAAGCTACCAGGCAAGGTTACGGGTAAATTTATCACAATTAGAGATGAACTTTCAGTTTGTTTTATCCGATTTTTGAACATCAATCTAATCAATTAACACCTGTTAATTTGAGCATATGAGACAACACAAAATTAAAGAGGGTAATACGTTTAGAATGAGGTATGTGGTAAATAGTTAGTGATTAAAGTATCAATTTTTGAGGCACTAAGGGGCCTAAGGATTTCTCAACGGAATATGGTGCTTTATATGAAAATGGGCTAAAAGTGACGGAGGTTGGACGGAAGGTAATATAAAACATACTAAAATAAAGATAACATCATTAGTGAACGCTCTCTGAGGGCAAAAATGAGAGTATGAAATTTGAAATAAAATATTTAGATAGTTATTAATTTCCCCAAATGAACATAAACGATATAGTTAAAACAACAGCGATTCTAGAACATAATATTCGTTATTCACTAACCAGTATTTGTAGCACCCGAAGCACCTTTAGCACTCCTAACCCTCTTTGAGTACTGTTCCAAGATGCCGTCCGAGTTCTTGCTTCCAGCTTCATCACAGAATAATGTCTTAATCTTGGAGATCTTATCAACATGTCCGGACTTTTGGAGGATCGATTTGCAGTCCGTCAAACTTTGATAGGAAGGGAAGAAGCAGACCAAGCCTCCAGGGACAACCTATAAATAAAAGTTGAAATGATTTCGATTTTAGAAAATTTTAGTTTCATAACATTTTTAATTTGTTTTGTTTTTTATCGTAGAGACCTATATGTATAGAAAAGTATCGGTAACGATATTTTCACCTGGCAAAGGTCCAAGAGAATGTTTCCCACTTCTTGGAACGTTCCCGGCTTCTTCCTTCCTTCAAATGAGAAGTCCAGCTCCATATCTTTGCCGTGGGAGAGTGTTATCGGGAGAAGGTTCTGCGGAGGAATGACGTGACCACAGCTGAACAAGGTGACGTCACGTGAAGAGGAAGCGAGGAGCTGCTGCTGCACTTCACCCACAGGTTCCATCGTCCCACCAGCCAGCACAACAGATCTGCACTCCCGGAGGAGGGGTAAGAAGGGGTCCTCACTATTCAGAGAGATATAACGGACATAGGAACCTTCAGCTTCACAGACCACGAGGACGCGTCCCGCAGAGTCAGCGTTTGTTAGAGCCGTGAACAATGATGAAATCTCCGCAAGGACAGATCTAGAGTGAATTGTGACGTCAGTCGTTGGTTTGATGACGTCATCCTCGTAACCCTGGACTTTTTGAGCTAGGTGACTCTCACGGATGTACTTTACTAGATCGAAGAGGTTTATATCCGCTAAGTCGGATTTGGTCTGAAAATCACCGATAGTAAGAAGATAAGTTCTAGGTGCCTTCTGAAAATGAATCTTCTTGAAAGATGATGCCAATAGACTGACACAGTGAATAACTTGCTTGCAGTGTAGGAGATTGATCGGCTTCAGCCTAGCTTTTACCTGGGCATCAATAGAGAAATATGAAGGGCGAAGAGGTAACGTCAATAACAGTTGCCTAATGATGGACTATTGTTGCAATCAAATGGAGTGATAATGTTTTTAAAGTTTACCTTTCGGAGGTATACAGCAAGTTTGCGATGAGTAGTAATACAATCCTTTTCTTGTATCGTTATAGAGTGAATTTCATTTATCGTTTCTATCAGATTATGCGCTTCGTCAATTATAACCACAGAATCTTTAAGCCTGAGAATTTATCAGTACAGAAAATAAAACTTGTTATTGAAATTAAACAATCCTAACTTTAAAATAAAAAGTATACAAAATTTACTGCTTGAACGAGCTCCAAAAAACATTATAAATCTGAAATTCAGTATTCCCCTCAAGACACACCTAATATTAAGAGATTTCCTCTGATCCCCGTGAAGTATCATGTTATACGGCAACATGACCACCTCCGCTTCCGGAACAGCTGCCCGAGTAGAATAATACGGACAAGTCTCCGCTTCCTTAGCTCCACCCACCAGCCCCTCTATGTCCTGTACCTCTGACAGGATGTGCGAGGAGAAATCTCGAACTTTCTGCGACGAGTAGAACTCGCACTTCCCTTTTTTCTTCTTCTTCTTTTCCTCGTCCTTATTTTCCTCGTCATCGTTCTTTTTGCGAGCTGCACTGCTTCGACGGAGTTCTAGACAGCGCTCGTTCATGAGATTGTTTGATTTGAGCTGACTTACGGAGGGGTTGATACAGAGATTAGTACGTGAGCCCAGGATTGTGACCTTTACTGAAGAGTAGGGGGACTTCTTTATTTCGTTTATAAACTGAAATTGTTGGCATTTTACCCGCAGCACTTCATGTAAAAATAAGATACATTTTCAATTACTGACAAAATAATGAGGGACCATTAAAAAGATAAATGATCTCGATGTCATTAATCTTCTTTAATGGTCCTCGTTATTTTTCAGCTGTCTATTAGTTATTGGCGTGGGAAACCAGGAACTTGTCAATCGATTAATTATGTTTAAATATGTATTTTGGGGATACTAAACCTGAGATAGCTGAGAGTGAGTCCGCGAACAGTAGAATATCTTGGTGCAGTACTCCTCTTCTGAATCGCTCTCAGAGCTGCCATCACTGGAGGAGTATTTCAAGTCCACTATATCATCTTCCATGTTTTCTTTATCCGAGAAATTATCTCGCTGGGAGATTTTCATTTCAAATTTTCACAGACTATTTTTGTATGTAGACGAAAGGCGCTTTCAACATGAAATCTTTATTCCGTAAGAAAGGCAATAAGAATATAATTACCTATTATAATTAACTAACATAATTACAATTAAATAAAAATATAATCACCTTGAACCTCTTTCTGCTTTTTAGGACTCTCTTTTGTCTCCTAACAGCTTTCTCCGCAGTAGCCTGCTTGTCACTGACAAGCTGCTGTACCTGTGAAAAAAATTGTCAGCTTTAAAATTTGAAATTCAGTTCAATTCACTCATAGAATATGCATTCGCGAAATTTGACATCTAAAATGGGTGTACTTGTCAGACCATCTAAATTTCATATGTCGCTGAGCCCCATTTATGCCATAACATAGCAGATAACAAGTTAACGAACCTTCTGCTGTTGGTACTGTTCGTTGACCCAGTCAGGCTCATCTTCGTCTTTATCCCTCTGCATTTCCTCTTTTAGTTTTCTCGCCTGATGTTCCTGCTGGTCCTTCAACCACTTCAGAGCACTGCATATAATACTTAACGATTTTCCTGAAACATGATGTTGTGTTCTTGAATCACCTTCTCGTGAATTACCTTTTCGAATAACCTTTTCGTGAATCAACTTTTCTTGAAATCAATCCATTTAAACTTGGATTCATTAAACTGTCCTTTTATGTTATAATTGCCTCCTAATTTCATACACGAAATTTGCGGCAATCTATAATGCATAATTGAGAACATTATTGGATTGTAAAATGTAAAACAAAATTATAAAACTTGAATGTAACCTGTGCCGGTGGGACTCTCAAAAATTCCAATTTTTCTCTTTTCAAGCGTATCATATAAGTTCTTCATGAAGTCCTTCTGTACTCCATAAGGCTCGAATGGAAAGGCGAACTCTTCTGCCATCTACCTGGTATCTAAATTAATTTTAATCGGTTAGATTCTCTACTAAAAATATACGGTATACGTATTAAAAGTTTGATACTAAGAAACAAGTCATGATATATTATAACAGATGCAAAGGACCAATGTTTTCATTCGGAAGATTCAATGAGACGAAATCAATTATAAAAGATCAAAGTTTTAAACAAATAATCATTAATTTCAAAGTCATGCACAAAATAAATAAACTGAAGAGAAAACATGCAAAATTGTTAAGGCAAAACGAAACTCAATACATAATAATATGGTATTGCAACTGAACTGAAACCCCCAACAAAAAGAACATGCGCTGTTCTATTACGTGCAATTATCTAAAATATTACTCACTTGAATAACAATCAGCTTATATTTAGTGGAGTTAAGTAGCGCATAACCAAATAAAAGTAGCAAAACTAAACTTATACATGTCCACCCTTATCATATCGATAATCAAAACCTCATGTTTAAATTTCCATCCAAAAAATTTCGGGAATTCCCTTAGGACTTTTACCCAATGATTTGATTGAGGATATCAACATTTGCTACCTCAATATGCGAGATCTAACCAGAGATTATTGTATGAACATTAATTTTACAATTTCTTTGTTTAATGAAATGAAGAAAATGAGTCACCACAATGTACCAATCGTCACTACAATCGTCCCTGGAATTCTCCTCTACAAACCGAAAACAGGGCTGCTATACTGATCAATAGTTCTACAGAGTGAGGACAGGTGTTCCAGATCAGGTGACTCGTCCTCTGAGAGGTGATCTGAGTCTGGATCTGATCTGACGGGAAGGAGTGAGAACCGGGATACCATCTCGTTTCTCAGTAACACGTTGTGTGTGTTCTAGTGGGGGTCATGAGGGAGTTACATTTGCGAACAAACGAATTATCTGTAAATCGATACTATTCAGTATTCAGCAGTGAGAAGATTCTGATTAAGATAATTCAAAGTTAAAATTGAATAAAACAGAATGAAAAAAGATAATAAAAATAAAATGTTACCTGCTGGAAGGCAGCTCTGGCAGCAGAGGTAGCTATAGCCTGTATGGTGGTACTGTAAATAGAAACAGCTCCGTACAGATTGTAAGTTCGTCTAATGAGTCCGTGAAGGTTGCCTGTGAGATGAGGCTGGAACACGTCCCAGTCAAACGGATCTATGTTGGTCTCGATGCGACGAACTACCGTCGTGATCTGATGGGGGTGCTGTTGAGCAAAAATAAAGAATTTTAACCGTCAGATCTTAAACTTGGATGTACCATTAGTCAGTCATTAAATCTTTTCATCCTGATTTAGATAACAAAAGAATTTTGTAAAGGAGTGCGTACCTTCTTGTTACGTTCAGAGTTGACAGAGGACGCTACGTTGCACATGGCTGTTAGGTATTTGAAGTCCAGCCAATATTGCAGGGCCATGTTTTGGGTGATCTCCGCTGTTTCCAACCAGGCGTCATAAACTTGAACTATCTTATCATCTAAACTCCCTGGAAGTAAAAGTATTAGACATTTGTTAATAGGAAATGGAGACAATAAAATTTCGTTGAGATATATTTCATCTTATCGCGGCCGGACTTATGGAAAATATGGATCACCATGCACACATGTATGTAGCATGTTTGTATGTACAACAGAACTGTACAACATGTATGTAGTACAACATGTACATTGTATGTATGTACAACAGAACTGTATCTTAATATTGCAGTATAGATGGCGACTTAACTAACCTAACATGAGAGGTACCTCTCCTTCAGTAAATCCGTGACAACCAATTCTGTACAGCTCAGAAGATAGTGCGAACAGTATGGTGTTCACATAGGAGGAGGTGTAGACAGGGAGAGAGATCTTAGACTCAACTGAACCCCCGTCTTCAGTCTCTTCCTTTATCTGTGTTTCTTCCCAAACCATCGCAAACGTTGCAGCTTCTGAAATGGAAGAGTTTTTAATCTACCTTACTCGGGAATATTATAGTGGGTTAATGTATGACTGGGAAAATTAATGACCGGGAAAAATATGGCGGAATTTTACAAAACCCACCACTTTATCCCAGTCATAATATTCCCGAGTAAGGTATGTATTTCAGGAACTAGCAAAGTTTTGCTTGTAGCGAAATTGGCGCATTGATCTCAGTGTCATTATTAAACAAAATACCAGGCAGGATTTCGTTTTTACCTGATTTGAGGAAAGTTGAAAGTTTCTCAGTCACCACGTCAGAAACCCAGCCCCCGTACCTTTGTAACAACACACACTTAGCACTGACAATACACTGATACATTTCAGAACTGCTTGCGGAGTACTTGGACCGGTCACGTGGATTGAGTAATTGCTGGAGTTGAGAAGTGTGCTGAACTAGACATCTACAAACGTGGATCAGGATTGCCAGTTGGTCTGATCGACTGTTTTCTGAGATATCTGCTTCGTCTGAAATAGTCTTATCTTATAACGAAAGTAACAATAAAATCATCAGTCAAACGAGCTAGATCATGTGATCTGTCAGAAGATATCCAGCTGAACATTACCTGGTACTGCAGTGAGAATATGCTGGGAGACTTGAACCAGGCTTTGTTTTGTCATCCCATATACGTGAGCGAAAATCTCTTCTGCTCTCACGTTATCTTCCTTATATCGAAATTTTTCCGGATTTCCTGAACGAAATTGCTTCTATTAGATCTCTGTTAATATTTTCCCAAGTGTAGGTAATAGGTATCTCAGATTGAATTGCGAGATTATGAAAAATATGTCCACTCACCGGTGTAGGTGATAATATCGTTGTAAATTATGGTCAATCTGTCGTTCAGGTTACTACACAGTGATCTGACTGAATCTACAAATCCCTCTGCTTTTTGCTGCAACTTTGTTTCTTTCTTGCAGTTTATATTCCACACAAAAATTGACACGTTCGCCTGAAATGATTTTCTTGCAACACGTTTTTTAGCGACATGTAAGTTCCGACGATTGCGCGCGCTTAGGCAAGGCCGCGCGCGCGCATTGCATGACCACGCAAAATTAACAATTGCTGAAAACTTTTCTAAAAACTTTATTCATCTGAATCTCGCCGCGCTCTACAAACTGAAACTAAATTTTTGAGACCGTCGTGCCGCACATATAGCTAACCTCTGAGTGGGTTTTAATGATCTCCGAAATATCCGTGGTGGTAGCCATCATAGCATCCTCGATGTAGGAAGATATTATCTTCTTAACATGCTCATTCATCGGAGCTTGTAACAGGTCGTTCCATATATGAATTTTCTTATTGAGCACGCCCAGGCAAACTGTCTCCCACTCACTTGAACTTTTCTGAATGTAACAAGAGTTGGAGAATATTTGGAACCAAAGTCCAAATACAAGAAATCCTCAATCGATTGAACACTAATCTTAAATAAGTAAAGAACCATATGTAAAACTAACCTGACAATAAGGTTTCACAAGACCAGCCACACTTGACACAGACTGCACGTAGTGTAGTGTAGTGTGGAGGTTATCATTCACCGCTGCTACCACTTTCTGCCACCAACCCTCACACAGCTGCGTCATGTTGGGTAACTCCAGTGAACTGGGGACAAACTACATGTATATCTGGATTTTAAGAACTTGCCGCACAACCCAGGCTATTTCAGCAATACTCAGGGTACACGATAAATAATAGATGAAAGTAGTTTGGTATATTTTACAACTTAAACCGAAAGGCTGGTACAGATGGGATAAAGTTCTGGCAGTAATATAAGTGATAGTAACCTGTTAATAGTGGGATGGTAACTGTGCACCAAAGTAGGAAGATGTCTTGTAATTGATTGTAGTCCTGTCTCCTGTTTAAACGCGTTGCTAACCACCTCCATAGTTGTTACACTGCACAATATTAGCGTTAGTACTCTAATTACACATTACACTTATTTAATAATATTAAAATATATAATTGTAGATTATTTTAAACTTTAAACTTTCAGAAATAGAGCAAGTGAACTAAGTAATATTACTAAAATCATAAATTATAAAATCTACAGGTCGACCATATCTTAAAAAGTTATGTGATTGACTGATAGAGATACATTTTTATTCAAATTTTAATGATATGGCATTGACAAGATTCGAATCCCTTATTAAAAATATGTCACAGATAAGATAAATATGACTTATTGATAAGATTGATTACTTGTGACAGAGATGTTTGAGTTTGTCAGTTACACGGTTACTCGTTACCAGGTTGTTGTGTACCAGATCCAGTGTACAGATTATACTCTCCACGCACTGAAATAATAAGGTTACATTATCAACAGATATTCAAACAAACTGAATAATTTACATTCCAAAATAATAATCACAGAATTCAAATCAATTACAAAACAGAAAGATATCAAAATGCCTCGTATATCTCAATATTTAAAACTACAAGATATCACTAACATCAGCAATCTGGTTCCTGACACTGCCTCCAGAAGTAAGCCGCGCCGCCACACCAGCCAGTCTCCTCTCCATCACCTCCACTATCAGGGTCTCCAGATCAACTCCCTCCAGCAGGATTACCGTACAGATAGACTCAGTGAACTGCTCGTCTGATACACTGACCCCTCCTAGCGTGTCTTTACATCCCTGTTATTATAATAAGTGGTAACTTACACGCTGGTTTGGTAAAGAGTTACCTAAATATATGAATCAAAATAATCAACGTTGGTTATATATCTTAAAAATAGAAAAATCGTTATTAAAGATTTGAGTGTGTAAAGTAAACCTGGAGGATGGAAGGTTTGAAGTGTGAGATAGCGCCCCACTGCTGTGCTAACACAGGGAATTGGGTCAGGTGCTGTGACGCAGCTCCGTTCCCGATGTGCAGGTTTGTTACGATATGTCGAGATAGGAGGTAGAGCTGCCCAGCTGAAGTTTGGAATAATTCAATTTTGAGGTATTGAAATCTTTTTTAATGTAGTCCGAGGAGTCCTAACTCTCTCTTGTCTCATATAGTTAACTGAAATCTTATTTTAAATATCATTCAAACTTACCTATGAGGAACTGCTTGTTTTCCATGGCATGCCATATCTTTTCAGGTGTATCAACTAAGAGCTTCATTTGGCTGGCAATACTCCAAAACTCCTCTTTTTTACTGTGTTCCTCTTCTTTTTCGATCGAAGAGATCCGTTCTGAAGCAATTACATTCCCATTACTAGTTTCATTATTCAGTATAGATGAAATGAAATATGAAATGTAAAACATCAAATTCTAGGACCATTTATTCACATAGGAAGCATAATTTGTCAATATTAAAAATATGTATTTTTGGTTTGGAAATTTTGATGCGTTCAATTTGTTTTACAGTAGGTCAGATCTTTAAAAGGTACATAAAAGGTACATTTTGGGGAAATCCTCCCAATCTTACATAAAACTATACCTAGTTTACAAGAAGTCTGTATAGAATCTAGAGTCGTTCTGATATCTTTAACAGTGTTTTCCATCTCTGCAATAGTATCAGCTGTGTTTATCAGTTCCCGGTATCGCTCCCCTACCATGGTCCGTAACTCGCTCTTCTTGCTCTCAATGTCACGCTGGATCTTCTTGAAATTTCTTTGTATCTCGTTTATTCTAGAGTCATTTTGGACGATTAAATCATGAATACCAATTATTTCTACGGACAGAAAGGGGGAAAACATCGAAATTTGATAAAATTCAGGGAAATTCATAACAGAGATGTTATATTGGTATTATATAAGATATAAATATTTAACAATTGGCAAGTTGCCATTCCAGAAAAAGAGATACTGACGTATATTGAGAGAAGAGGTCCTCAGGGCTCAGTAGATCAGGTTGAGACAACACCGAGGATTGGGAGACCAGGTGTTTCCTGGTGCCAGATGCACTTGCAGGTGTCATCCTTCCTTTCCTAACAGCATAAACACCATTAGATTCCTTTAAATACTATATATATATATTACTCTAAGAAGTGAAAACAAATACATAAAATACTAGTAATCCTTTAAATTCGCAATAAATAAATTCTTTCAATGTCATAAAATTCCTAAAACCACATTATATATGTGACCAGTAAATAATTTAATTGGTCTATAGACTACTGTATAAAATTCTCAATATAGATTCAATAAAATATGCATAAACTTCAGTTGCTCAGTTAATTAGTGGTATATTCATATTTGATAAGTCAGCCACCGAAATCAATGGAACCAGAAAAATTCAATGCAACAAGAAAATTTCAATGAAACAAGAAATTTAATTTTTAGCACATTTTACAGAATCAAAAAATGTGTAACGATTCATTAAAATAATGCCCATTTGATGAACGATTTTGTGTCTTAACTGCTAATTGGATTGTGGGAGAACAGACACCAACAGGGCAGGGAATGTGAGGGCCTGAAAGCTTTTGCACACACCGTAATGCTATTCAGATGAGGACCTAATAACAATTGTTGATGGGGATTAAGGATTCTGTTTAGGGTTGTTACTATGGATTACAGTCTTGTTGTGACAGAAGGTCTGTATACCATAATATGCTTTATGTTGTGTAATTCTGAATTCAATGATATAAAATGCAACTTGAAAATGGATATATTATTTATCGGAGGGCTGGCAAAATATTATGGCCTTCGCATTTTTGTTTGACTGATCATTGGTTATAATAAGCTATAGATGTGTTAAACTTTATACAGTTCTAATTATAAATTAGAACGGTCCTTTCAATGCAGATTCCCTTGCAGCATAGTCAGGATGTAACCCCAGGCATGTGCAATCATGTTGTTTTCGCAGCTCTAATGAGAGCCACTGCCATTCACACCATGGTTTGGTGAGTGAGAGCTGCCTTTCAGTTTTGTGATCTTGGGATTCGAACTCATAACCTCAGGGCCAGTAAACAAGCGGATTAACTAACTTTTTACCAATTAGGTCAGAAAGCAAAAAATTAGTGAAATCTGGCAGAAACAGTTTTTTGAAAAGTTAGGCAAATATTAATGGAAATGCAACTTGAAATTCATTAAACTTGCCACCATAATTAGGCTTGATAAGAAAAGGAAACGAAGAGGAGCTGTAATTGTAACTGTGACAGACGCTCAGCTCCTCGCAATTTGATTCAAGAAGTTTTAAGAAAACATATAATGCAGAGCTTGCCATGTGCCTTGGTTAACGCTATGTGTGTGTAACATTTGTTTAGTTTCCGAAATTTCACTTAACCTCTGATCTATTTAAAACGAATGGACATATTGAAACAATATAGACATGTTACCAGCAATGCAATGACCCTATACAAGATAATAAAACCGTCTTCCAAGGGTATACCCTTGAATATGCAGAAATTCATTCCATATCAATTCACACATGGCCTTGCAGCTCTAAATTCAAGTCTAGACTTTCTATATCGACCAAGTTCTTTCTTGCATTGAAGTGCATACTTTCGACTGAACATGCAATAGGGCTCAATCTAAACAACTTAGGGGTTGCTCAAATACTACCTTAGTCAAACATGAGAGGGGCTTGGAAAAGCTCATTATTGTTGGGGGAGGTCTAGGCCTTGCTTGAGTAATTAAACGTTTGCAACAAACACATTTATTCAATTTAAATTTTAATAAGAAACGTAATTTGATCAAACCAACATGAAGTCGCCAGGCAAACTCCCCACTCACTAAAAAGAACCAGTACATGAACCAAGTGTTACAATTGGAGAATGGGTCGTTCGTCCCCCTTGTATTTACCAGTACAGGAGGAATGGCACCTGAGGCCAAGCGTTTCATAAGGAGACTTGCTGTGTTGATAGCCACCAAGACCAAGGAGGACTACAGCCAGGTGATGTGTAACATCTTGATTTAATTTATTGTATTATATATATACTATTTTCGTTCGTCATATTTGTGTCTTTTGTACGTTATAATATTTTTGGTGGGCCAAAAGTCAGTAGGTACCCATACGTTGGCCTTAATAGCTCCGCCGTGTTTTTTATTCGAGAGCTGTTGCTTTGCAGATGGCATACTATATATACTGTATTTACTGGTTCGAGGATTCCGTCGTCAAAATTTGAAAATTCTAATATTTTAGACCACGCCCATTCAATATTAAAACACCTATATTGTTTTCTCTGAACATGCTGAACGCCTAATTTTTTCAGAGACGATAGATTATCAAATGTTGCATATGATCTGAAAACATGAGGCAAAACAGATTTAAAGAAATGACGAAGTTATCAAGCATTTTCTGTATCTCGTTACGAATTTAGCTTTCATTTTAGACTTCACGTCTCCCGAAATAAAACTGCGAACAAAGTGAAACAAGGAACTAAGTAAACTGTAAAACCAAATTTTCGTCACGCATTGGACTTTATCAAGGTTACACTGAAAAAGGGGAGGTTTGATCTCTGAACCAGAGAGTGTGGTAATTGGGTTAGGAAAGTAAACATACATGCGACAAAGATCAGGGTTACCATTAGGAAGAAAATTTCAGCAAAATTTATAGAAAAGGGGTGTACACATCCATGCGAGAAAAATCGGGTTACCAATAAGAAAAAATCACAACAGAGAAAGTTTACAACCCTCAGATCAGCGTAGTAAAAGTGTACTAGAAATTAGTCTGTAAAACCGTTTCCACACATGTTATTGATTTTCGGTTTAGTGTGTTCTATTGCTAAGCCTTCTCTTATAAAGGTATCTAAGGTATCCTTACATTGTTCTGATATGCTAAATTCGTAGTTTTCGAAGAATTTTGCTAAGTCTCTTTTTCCCGATATAGGAGTGTAGTGTGGGTCGTCTGCTCTGCGGTGTTCAGCAGCGTGGTATCCTAGTGTGGTCCTGCTGTTGTTGAGTCGGAAACAAAATTGACTGGGTGATTATGTGACTGACACGACACCTTAATTGGGCACCCTTAACAATTCCCATAATGTTTAACGGGGTAGTTAACGGGGGACCTTATCACGTGATTAGGTAAACCAATCACCTGATCACACGTAATGAATAAACTCGTTATGCTTCATATCTCGGTCATCTGAGAAGCTACAGTTCTAATTCTTTCAGGACAAGCGTAATTCGAATTGCCAAACACAATTCAATAACATTTAGCTTGATCCGACTATCCAAACTATCGAATAAATGTGAAAATGGACCTCCATTTGAAAAAAAGGAACACGAATATTTTTCGAGTTGACAAATTCCTCGAACCAGTGGTGGTACTAAGTCATACCAGAAAGAAGTATTTAAATTGGGCACTCAGTGACTGAGCTATAAAGGCCTACGTATGGGTACTAACTTTTGGCCCACCCTGTATATTTTTTAGGGCGTTAGTGCCGAGTTAACTCCCCTTGCAAATATAGACTTTCTACTAGACATATCATTGATGGTTTCACCATGATATTGTTCTCTGATATGTTCCACAAAGAACTCATCATACAGGAAGTGAGCTTGACCTTGTGGACAAATAAAACCATGTGATACTCCAGTCACCTCCTCCTGTTCAGTTTTTATTTCTTTTTTGATGGGAATTAAATTTATGTGACTGTTAACTTTATCAGCAGTTGTTGAGGACCTATACTCCCAGTTAACATTATAAACTTTCCTGCAACAAACACTCATTAATAAATTAAAATACACAAACTTTCCAAATTCAAATAACTAGATCTGTAATTACCACTGGGTATAAATAAATGGAATATTATTAAATTATAATATTTAGACCACGCTTAGACATCCATATTCTATCAGTACCATGCCATGCAGCTATAATGCAGTTAATAAATGTCTACCTTACTCGGGATTATTACGACGGGTTTATTAACGACCGGTTAAAATATGGTTCGGGAAAAATATGGCGAAATTGCTCAAAACCCACCACATTATCCCGGTCGCCATTTTACCGGTGTCCAACCTTTCAATTTTAGATTCAAAAATTTTGTCTCAGATGTAAATTTCCTTATTAGAGATAAGCAAGTTTAGAAATTTTCGCATTGCTAAAACTTGTGAAACAAGTCGAATTATCAATAATTGTTGAAAGTAGACAGAAATAATGACTCGTGGTTAATCAAACTAGATGGAAAATAATTTTTAACATTTGAAGCGTAACAACCAGATCGATATTAAGATGAAGGGAGAGCTGTTTAGTCTTCCAATAAGTTGTAATCATCTTCGTTATCTTCATCTGGATCATCCCTTTCATCAGTTTTAATTAATTCAGGTTTTAATTTAACTGTTACTTTTACTTTGAGTCCTATTTCATTATGTAGAGATAGTCAATACCTAAGAAATTAAAAATTGGCCTATTTAAATCAAATTTGACAATAAGGATATATGACAAGAATTGGGCAAAAAGGTGAATTTTTTGCAATTTTAGCCAAATGAAGTCGAAAAACCTACAACAAGTGTCCCAATAGTCTTCTTTAGTGAATATAAGACAACGATTAAAATATGAGCACCCATACCCCTTGGGAACCCTAAAAGCTGAGTAGGCGGGTTTATTAACGACCGGTGAAAATGTGGTTCGGGAAAAATATGGCGAAATTACCCTAAGCCCACCACTTTATCCCGGTCATAATAATCCCGAGTAAGGTATCATAGTCATATAATTATAAAAATAACAAATAATATAGATCGTGGAAAAACATTAAATTTACTAATTTCTACTATTGAGACAAGACAAAATCAGTGGGATTCAATCAATGGTTAGATATATATCAAAGATTAAGTTTAATTTCACATTTATTTGGTCAACATACTGCAAAATTCTTTTATTTAAATCAGAAAAATTCGTTTCAAACATAGCTCTAAACATTTGTGGAGATTATTTCTAGATAATAAATGCAATCATTGATCATACCTCATAGGTAAACTAATAATATAAAGTGGTCCAAGTAAACTGACATTCTTTACCAGTGAATACACTGGTGTCTAATAAAGTGTGACTGATCAGAACAAGTATAACAGTTGTATAGAACATTCCTGGCAATTTTATAGTTTCTCTCTCGTGTGAGTTCTTTGGTGTTTAATAAGATTTGATTTAACAGAGCAAGTATATGCACATTCCTTACACTTGTAGGGTTTCTCTCCTGTGTGAGTCCTCATATGTTTCTTGAGATCAACTTTCCGAGCACTACAATATGAACATTCCTTACACTTGTAGGGTTTCTCTCCTGTGTGAGTCCTCATATATGTAATGTGAGATCACCTTTCCGAGCACTACAATATGAACATTCCTTACACTTGTAGGGTTTCTCTCCTGTGTGAGTCCTCATATGTAATGTGAGATTACCTTTCTGAGCACTAACATATGAACATTCCTTACACTTGTAGTGTTTCTCTCCTGTGTGAGTCCTCATATGTAATGTGAGATTACCTTTCTGAGCACAAGAATATGAACAATCCTTACACTTGTAGGGTTTCTCTCCTGTGTGGGTCCTCATATGTTTCTTGAGATCAACATTCTGAGCACTAGAATATGAATATTGACTACACTTGTAGGGTTTCTCTCCCGTGTGAGTACGTTGGTGGTTAATAAGCTTTGATTTAAAAGAGCAAGCAAATGAACATTCCGTACACTTGTAGGGTTTTTCTCCCGTGTGAATACATAAATGGTTCACAAGATCACTATTCTCATTACAGGTATAAGAACAATCGTCACATTTAAAAGCTTTCCCAACAGAAGAAGTATTTTCTTTGCCCAACCTGACTGATGATGGTAATGAATTGAACAAGACATTTCTAGTAGACATATCATTGATTGCTTCACCATGATGTTCTCTGATGTGTTCCACAAAGAACTCATCATACAGGAAGTGAGCTTGACATTGTAGTAAAGTAGGATTAGGGTCAATTTAGTAGGATCAAGGGTTAAGTTAGGTTTTTAGTACAGTTTATATTATAGTTTAATAGTTAGTTCTTATAGTCCACTAGGGTAAAGTAATTTCGTAGGTTTTATATTGCAGCATCTTTTAGAATCCTTTTAGTGCTAGGTTACATTCATTTACATTTCTTATCTTTAAATTTTAGTTTTAGTGTAAGTACGAGCACGCGGAAGTTGTACTCATGCGTGACTTATATTCACGCGTGAGTACAGCCTTTTTAAGGGCCTACTTGTTCAGTGCGGGTGTCTGTGTCACGTCCCCCTTTTGGAGAGTTTTTAAGATTATTACAAAGTACAATACGTTTATTTACCGAATTATCCAAAGACTTTTTTCTATTCTATTTAGACATTTTTAGTGAGACACACTTCTCACCTTTATAAATTTACTGTTGAAGTTTAGTAAGGCACACTCCTTACTGTTGTATCGGACACACTTCTGATACAACCAAATTGTAGAGACACACTTCTCTCCTTTATTGTTACGTATTTGTTGTTGAAGTTTAGTAAGGCACACTCCTTACTGTAGTATCAGACACGCTTCTGATACAACCAAATTGTAGAGACACACTTCTCTCCTTTACTGTTACGTATTTATTGTTGAAGTTTAGTAAGGCACACTCCTTACTGTTGTATCGGACACACTTCTGATACAACTAAATTGTTGAGACACACTTCTCTCCTTTTCTGTTATTGATATTGGGACATACTTCCCGATCGTTTGATACTAGTGAGTGTAGATTGACATAAGTTAGGAACGCCCACTTTCTCGCCACGTAGACCAACTTTTAGTATAATACCTCGTTTACAACATCTGGAGGGCCACGGAAAGTAAACTTAATGTCGTCTACCTTACTGTCCGAATCGAACTAGAAGCTTCCGTAAAAGCAATAGCTGAATTAGATGAACAGATAAGTAGTTTGATAAAGCAGAGTAAGGATGGTCAAGAAACTAGTCAGGATGTAAAGGAAATAAATGTAAATCTAGGAGAACTTGTGGTCAAAATTACTACTGCTAAAGTTGAGCACACAAACATCGAGAGACAAATAGCAGAGTATAATTCAGAACATCAACAATACTTAGTATCTGATAATAAACGAACTAATGCTGATAACAAACAGGAAATAGTTTCACCTCCAGAATTTCCAGAACACAGTTTCTTGCACGATTGCCTAGTGTAAATGTTCAGTCAAAAGCTCAGATCGCCAAGCCTCCTAAGTTTAAGGTGGGGCAAGATATCTGTATATTTTTAGATAGATTTGAACAATACATGATTATAAGTGGTGATAGTTATGTTAACAACCTAGATTTACGTCTATTAAATCTTGTAGAAGACGATAAGATGTACCGGAAGTTTAAAAGCATTTTGAATACCATAAACAGTGCTAACATTTTGTCCGTGACTAAATTCACTGCGGCTATCAGAGCAGTATTGTACCCAGATGCGGAGTCACGTACCTTGAGAGATGCTATGTACAAATTAAGGCAGAATCCGGATGAAAATGTGGAGGATTTCGCATTACGTATTGAAACAGAAGCTGCGAAGGCGTTCTCTCCCCTTGAGCATACTCTCAAGAATGAGGCGTGTTTGTCTGCTTTGGGTAATGGGCTCCACAGTGTAGAAGTAAGGCGGAAACTTAAGGAATCTGAGTTGAAGTTGTTTGATGTAGCTACACGCTTAGCTATCAAACACGAACATATACTGATATCAACCCAGGATCATGGTGATTTAGAACCAGTTTCACAGTTGCAGTCTTCATTTGACGTTTTACGTATTGACGGCCCAGATCAACCTCGTGTACCGCATACCAATTACCGCACAGTACAGAACCACAACCAGAACAACTCAAGGCGCAGTGAACGCCCCATGATCTGCTATAACTGTAACCAGCCTGGACACATGGCGAGATTCTGTCGTAGTATCAGATCTGATCAGTACCGCAATGAACAAGATGTTAGATCATGTAATATCTGTCATAGGACAAACCATCACACAAGTCAATGTTGGTCTAGAAATCAGAACCGTTATAGTAGGAATTCTGGTGCAAACACGTATTCTCAGTTTAACAACAATCAACGGTCTTCTTTAAACGGGAATACGGCTGGCGAGTTCACGGTACATCCCAGCCGTCTCAATTAGGTACTAACTATAACCGTGTTGATAAGATAGTATCTAAGAAAGAACTATTAGCGAAGGGTAGCTGTAAGGGTGTACCCGTTCATGTATTTTTAGATAGCGGAAGTGGTGTAAGTTTAGTGTCACCAGGATTTATCAATAGAATAGGTCTGGTAGATAAAGTACAGAATTCCAAAGCAGCATTGACGTCATTTTCGAATAATGCCATAACTGTACTAGGTCAAATAAGCTTAGACCTCAGAATTGGAGAAGTTGTATCAGCTCGGCACGTATTCATCGTTACCAACATGTTAGACGTTGAATTTCTAGTGGGTTTGGATTTTCTTGAAGCTAACAAGCTTAGTATAGATTTCGGTAGTTCCAAACTATTTAAAGAGAACGGTCAATCCTGTACATTATCGGAGAAACCACGTGACATACCTCATGTGAAGAAAATAAGGTGTAAAGATACAGTTATCATCCCTCCTAGAACAGTGCAGTTTATATCGGGTAAAATTCCCCAAACATTTGTAAATTACCAAGGAATAACAGAACCGTACGAGAAAACCATGTTAGCTACCGGTGTACTGATGGCACCCTCTATAGTGTACACTGATAAACGTTGGGTTCCTATTAGGTGTATCAATGTTAGTAATGAACCCATGACTATTTATAAGGGGAGCATGTTAGGTTTTCTGCGACCAGCCACAGAAAGTGGTGGTGTACAAGGAGTTAAAATGGTTCACAGTAATGTGAGGGCGAATGATAGTTATCCTGCACCTGCCGGCTTCCATTCTGTTGCCGGAGAGAGGGTGAGTAAGTGGACTAAGAACGAGCTGTTTGATGCTTTAAAGCTGCAGAAGATCCAAGTTGAGATGAGCGACTCTGAGACACAGAGATTAAAGGATGTGTTGTGGAAGTATAGATCTTGTTTTGCTTACGACAAGGATGATTTTGGTTGTTGTAATATGTTTAACGCTCACATTGACCTCAAGAGAGATTCTGTACCCAGCTGGACGCCTGAGAGAAAGGTTCCTTACAATCTTGAACATAAGATGGATGATTTGATGGACAATATGATAAATACTGGAGTAGTTGAGCCACTGACAACTGAATCTAACTGGAATTCTCCCATTTTCCTCGTAGCCAAGTCTTCTCCTGGAACATATCGTGTGGTCGCAGATCTTCGGGGAGTAAACAAACAGTGCCTAGCGGACAAGTATGACTTCCTAACATCAATCACGTACTAGATAAAATAGGTGGCGACTGTATATTCTCTACGTTTGATATGGCTGCGAGTTTCCATCAGATTCCATACGATGAAGCTTCAAAACCTATCACTGCATTTAGTTATAAGGGACGTAGATATAATTTTGCTAGAATGATTATGGGTCACTGTAGTTCTAGTTCTATCTTTACTCGTATGGTCTACAGATTGTTAGAACACTCACCTAGTATCGAACACCTTCTTTATTTTTTAGATGATTTACTTTTGGGTTCTAAGGATGTGCATTCTCACATTGAAAGACTGGAAAGGATGTTGAAGCAGCTGATGAGTGCGAATCTGAAGCTCACCCCCAACAAAACGGAATTGATGCGAACAGAGGTGAGATATGTCGGTATTACCCTGAGTACTGAAGGAATACGGATAAATGATGATCGAATAGAGGCAATCAAGAAAATAGAGCCTCCAAGAACGGTGAAAGAGACCCAAAAAGTGTTAGGATTCTTCGGATACAACAGAAAATTCGTTAGACGTTATGCAGAGCTCAGTGAACCTCTATACGCACTGCTGCAGAAAGGAAGAAAATTTGTCTGGACATCAGAATGCCAGAAAAGTTTCGAAGACCTGAAAATTGCAATCAGCAGCTCGCCTACCCTCTGCTTCCCTGAAGTACACGATCCTCATGATTCTTACGAAGTTACAGTGGATGCTTCAATACATGGTCTGGCTGCAACTTTAACCCAGATGATTGATGGACAGAGAAGAACGGTGGGGTACTTCAGCAAAGCAGTTCCTCGACACAAGAGAGAATGGGGTCAAACAAAGCTTGAATTCGAGTCGTTATGTGCAAGTTTGAAACACTGGGCTGTCTATCTTAGAGGAGCTAAGACATTTAAAGTGATCACTGACTGAAAGAGTCTCCTCCACCTGGACACTATATTCAAAGCTAACCCCACGATGATACGACGATTACAGGAGCTAGCAGCCTTCAACTTCACTATGCATCACATTGAAGGAGTGCGGAACGTCTCAGATTTCCTTTCTCGTTATGGAATGAAACCATCAACTGTTGAGATTTCTACACAGACTGAAGAAGCCGAGATGTTTAGAGTAAAGAGTATTACACCAATCTGTGTAGATACGAACAGCGTGAAAGAAAATACTTCGTCACCACTCTGTGACGGAAGTAAAACTCAGTCCGAAAAGAAGAAGGAAAATATCTTACCACCCGTCTGTGATGATAGCACGACTATCAGTGAGGTGGAGATACCCAGTGATCTGCAGCTACTATTTGAAGGAGAATACGAGTCTGTAGTGAATTTCAAGATTCAAAAAGTTGAGGAGGTTGAATGCTATTGTGCATTGCAAGAAATGCCAGTAAATGAAAAGAGGTTGAGCGAAGAGGAATTAAAGAATTTCAAGTATCTGCTGTTACCGAGGATGTTGATGTCGAGCCTAAAAGAAAAAAGATATGTGATGAACAGGATAAAGATCAGATTCTTAAAGTGGTCAAAGACTGGATAATTGCTGGAGAAAAGCCCAAGATCCATACTAATAGGACTCCAGCTATGTTAGTTTCATTGTGGAAACAATTTAATCTGCTGAAGATCTCTGATGATGGTTTACTTATGAGAGCATGGGTGAATGTGAGACATCCAGATCAGAAACGGGACCTGATCGTTGTACCGGAGATTCTCGTCGAAGGGATTATGAAGCTACATCACTCGACCCTTACAAGTTGCCACCCTGGAGCAGAAATATCGGTTGACCTCTGTCGCCGAAACTTCTATTGGCCCAAGATGGTTGAGGATTTCAAAGAATACATTGCAGCTTGCGAGAAGTGCGGAGCCATAAAGCAACCACAGAGGTACCTGAAAGCCCCTCTACGACACATGTTATTCCACTCCTTCAACGATTGCATCATTGTGGACCACATAGTGCCAGAGTCTGAGGGAAGAACTCCACGAGGATATCGGTATATCCTGACTATAACTGATGCGTGGAGCAACTATGTTGTGGCAATTCCTGTAAAGACACAGACTGCAAAAGAAAACATTGAACAAATTGTTCGACGTTGGACGTTGATTCATGGAATACCAAAAGAGATCATCGTCGATAATCATCCAGGCTACTCGGCTGATTATTTCAAAGCAATATGGCAGTACTTTGAATGTAAGGTAACTCACGGCACAAGTTACAAAGCACGGAGCACCGGAAAAGCAGAGAGATCAAATAAAAGGATAAACCAGGCGTTGAGAGCTGCTATTCCAGAGGGAAAAGAAAGATGCTGGGACATTTATTTGGGCTACTGTGTCATGGCGCTTAACTCACTGAAAAACAGACACACTGGATACTCAAGCAACAGATTAGTCTTTGGAAGGGAAACAAACACCCCGATAACTTTACTTGTGGATAATGACTTAAAGACGGAGATCCCATCAAAGAAAAGTAAAGGAGCTTACGAGATGTATACCTTGATGAAGAGAACACTTAGAAAAGTTCGGGAAAATGCGGACACGGACTTTCTGTACTCTAAACATCAGCATGACAGAAATATCCTGGGACCATACTTTAAAGCAGGTGATCTGTGTTATGTCCTGATAAACTGTCCTCAACACAAGTACTCAATAAGATGGAGAGGTCCGCTATTGGTAAAGAAAGTGATAAATGACCATCTTTATGTTGTGCAGATAACACCTGATACGGATAAAGTGACAAATATCAGTAAAATGAAACATTTTGCGAGGAATAAGCACAATAAGACCAAATATCCTTTAGCTGTCACCCACTCTGGCGCACAGACTGCTCTCCCTGTCACCCACTCTGGTGCACAGACTGCTTCTTCAGACACCCATACAGGTGAACTGAACAACGATGACAGTGACGAAGACGAACAGTTTGCTACAATACATCATCCTCAGCGTAGAAAAAGACAGTCTTTACATCCCGACAAGACACTTGATCCTGTGATAGCTGCTCCTGATATGAGTAGTACCCCAGTTCAACCACCACCTGCTCGGACAACTACACGAGAGATTGAAAGATTACCAGCTTCGCCAATATCGATAAGGACCACTCCTCCAACGGAATTGAATGAAGAAGAAACTGATCGACGAAGTGGATCTTTAGAAGAACAGGAGAGTAGAAACTCAACGGGTGCCTTTGTGTCTTTCGAAACTAGTGATGAAGGCACAGTTCAGCTGGATGCTGAAGAACAGAGCCATCAAGAGATACCGGAACCAGAACCACGATATGGGTTGAGGAACAGAGAAAGTTTGCGACCTCCGGACTATTACAGTGATAACCAATCATCTACGATTAGACGGGTGATTACCAATCTGGCTGGAATATTTCAGTAATGCCAGATATTCGGGCACGGTTTCAAGACTGGGATTGGAGTGCTACCCAGGCCCAACCGAGCACAGTTGACCGATCGATTATAGTTGGTATAGTTCTAGCCACACTGCTAGACTACATCAGTATGAGTCAGAATGTTTGTCAGTAGTATTTGTCTGTGTAAACCAGTTCACAGAAGTACCTGGCGTTTCAAGATGGGAAAGAAAATGATGTTTCTTCAACGACGGAGTAAAAGATGGAGAAAGATTTATGATGATAAAGAAAAGATGGATACGAAATGATGACGATGAACTATTTTTGTTGATTTTGAGTAAATATAAAGAAGACAGTTTATATCTAATTGTATTAGATGATCATTTTTATCCTGCCTCTGAGAAGGACTATTGTATGTGAATGTATATGATTTGAAGTTCAGCTCTTTTAAAACGTACTAAGTGTACCGTTTTCAAACGCGGTTTTGATTGTAATATTTGGGCGATGAATCTGTTTTAGTCGCAAACATTTGAAAAAAATGTTGAATTTTTGGGAAAATATTTTTTGTAAAATTTTAATTTCTGATGTTGTGTTGTCTCCTAGAGACGACACAGCATCACGTTTTCTTGTTGGGGTGATATGTAGTTAAGTAGGATTAGGGTCAATTTAGCAGGATCAAGGGTTAAGTTAGGTTTTTAGTACAGTTTATATTATAGTTTAATAGTTAGTTCTTATAGTCCACTAGGGTAAAGTAATTTCGTAGGTTTTATATTGCAGCATCTTTTAGAATCCTTTTAGTGCTAGGTTACATTCATTTACATTTCTTATCTTTAAATTTTATTTTTACGTGTAAGTACGAGCACGCGGAAGTTGTACTCATGCGTGACTTATATTCACGCGTGAGTACAGCCTTTTTAAGGGCCTACTTGTTCAGTGCGGGTGTCTGTGTCACGTCCCCCTTTTGGAGAGTTTTTAAGATTATTACAAAGTACAATACGTTTATTTACCGAATTATCCAAAGACTTTTTTCTATTCTATTTAGACATTTTTAGTGAGACACACTTCTCACCTTTAAAATTTATTGTTGAAGTTTAGTAAGGCACACTCCTTACTGTTGTATCGGACACACTTCTGATACAACCAAATTGTAGAGACACACTTCTCTCCTTTATTGTTACGTATTTGTTGTTGAAGTTTAGTAAGGCACACTCCTTACTGTTGTATCAGACACGCTTCTGATACAACCAAATTGTAGAGACACACTTCTCTCCTTTACTGTTACGTATTTATTGTTGAAGTTTAGTAAGGCACACTCCTTACTGTTGTATCGGACACACTTCTGATACAACTAAATTGTTGAGACACACTTCTCTCCTTTTCTGTTATTGATATTGGGACATACTTCCCGATCGTTTGATACTAGTGAGTGTAGATTGACATAAGTTAGGAACGCCCACTTTCTCGCCACGTAGACCAACTTTTAGTATAATACCTCGTTTACAACAACATTGTGGACAAATGAAACCGTGTGATACTCCAGTCACCTCCTCCTGTTCAGTTTTTATTTCCTTTTTTATGGGAATTACAGTTATGTTACTGTTAACTTTATCAGCAGCAGTTGAGAACCTTTTACTCCCAGTTAACATTATAAACTTTCCTGCAACAAACACTCATTAATAAATTAAAATATATAAACTTTCCAAATTCAAATAACTAAATCTTTAATTACCACTGGGTATAAATAAATGGAATATTATCAAATTATAATATTTACACCGCCTTCAGACATCTTTATTCTATCAGTTCCATGCAGCTATAATGCAGTTAATAAATTTCATTTCAGAGTCGTATTATAAAAATAACAAATAATATATAGATTGTGAAAAAACATTAAATTTAAACTAATTTCTACTACTAAGACAAGACAAAATCAGTGGGATTCAATTAATGGTTAGATATATATCAAAGATTAAGTTTAATTTCACATTTATTTGGTCAACATACTGCAAAATTCTTTTATTTAAATCAGAAAAATTCATTTCAAACATAGCTCTAAACATTTGTGGAGATTATGTCTAGATAATAAATGCAATCATTGATCATACCTCATAGGTAAACTAATAAAATAAAAGTGGTCCAAGTAAAGTGTAAACTGACATTCTTTGCCAGTGAATACACTGGTGTCTAATAAAGTGTGACTGATCAGAACAAGTATAACAGTTGTATAGAACATTCCTGGCAATTTTATAGTTTCTCTCTCGTGTGAGTTCTTTGGTGTTTAATAAGATTTGATTTAACAGAGCAAGTATATGCACATTCCTTACACTTGTAGGGTTTCTCTCCTGTGTGAGTCCTCATATGTTTCTTGAGATCAACTTTCCGAGCACTACAATATGAACATTCCTTACACTTGTAGGGTTTCTCTCCTGTGTGAGTCCTCATATGTAATGTGAGATCACCTTTCTGAGCACTAACATATGAACATTCCTTACATTTGTAGGGTTTCTCTCCTGTGTGAGTCCTCATATGTAATGTGAGATGACCTTTCTGAGCACTAGAATATGAACATTGACTACACTTGTAGGGTTTCTCTCCCGTGTGAGTACGTTGGTGGTTAATAAGCTTTGATTTAAAAGAGCAAGCAAATGAACATTCCGTACACTTGTAGGGTTTTTCTCCCGTGTGAATACATAAATGTTTCACAAGATCACTATTCTCATTACAGGTATAAGAACAATCGTCACATTTAAAAGCTTTCCCAAAAGAAGAAGTATTTTCCTTGCCCAACCTGACTGATGAATGTGATGATGGTAATGAATTGAACAAGACATTTCTAGTAGACATATCATTGATTGTTTCACCATGATGTTCCCTGATGTGTTCCACAAAGAACTCATCATACAGGAAGTGAGCTTGACATTGTGGACAAATGAAACCGTGTGATACTCCAGTCACCTCCTCCTGTTCAGTTTTTATTTCCTTTTTGATGGGAATTACAGTTATGTTACTCTTTACTTTATCAGCAGCTGTTGAGGATCTTTTACTCCCAGTTAACATTATAAACTTTCCTGCAACAAACACTCATTAATAAATTAAAATATATAAACTTTCCAAATTCAAATAACTAAATCTTTAATTACCACTGGGTATAAATAAATGGAATATTATCAAATTATAATATTTACACCGCCTTCAGACATCTTTATTCTATCAGTTCCATGCAGCTATAATGCAGTTAATAAATTTCATTTCAGAGTCGTATTATAAAAATAACAAATAATATATAGATTGTGAAAAAACATTAAATTTACTAATTTCTACTACTAAGACAAGACAAAATCAGTGGGATTCAATTAATGGTTAGATATATATCAAAGATTAAGTTTAATTTCACATTTATTTGGTCAACATACTGCAAAATTCTTTTATTTAAATCAGAAAAATTCATTTCAAACATAGCTCTAAACATTTGTGGAGATTATTTCTAGATAAACTGACATTCTTTACCAGTGAATACACTGGTGTCTAATAAAGTGTGACTGATCAGAACAAGTATAACAGTTGTATAGAACATTCCTGGCAATTTTATAGTTTCTCTCTCTTGTGAGTTCTTTGGTGTTTAATAAGATTTGATTTAACAGAGCAAGTATATGCACATTTCTTACACTTGTAGGGTTTCTCTCCTGTGTGAGTCCTCATATGTTTCTTGAGATCAACTTTCCGAGCACTACAATATGAACATTCCTTACACTTGTAGGGTTTCTCTCCTGTGTGAGTCATCATATGTAGTGTGAGATCACCTTTCTGAGCACTAACATATGAACATTCCTTACATTTGTAGGGTTTCTCTCCTGTGTGAGTCCTCGTATGTAATGTGAGATTACCTTTCTGAGCACAAGAATATGAACATTCCTTACACTTGTAGGGTTTCTCTCCTGTGTGGGTCCTCATATGTAATGTGAGATTACTTTTCTGAGCACAAGAATATGAACAATCCTTACACTTGTAGTGTTTCTCTCCTGTGTGAGTCCTCATATGTAATGTGAGATTACCTTTCTGAGCACAAGAATATGAACAATCCTTACACTTGTAGGGTTTCTCTCCTGTGTGGGTCCTCATATGTTTCTTGAGATTACCTTTCTGAGCAAAAGAATATGAACATTGACTACACTTGTAGGGTTTCTCTCCCGTGTGAGTACGTTGGTGGTTAATAAGCTTTGATTTAAAAGAGCAAGCAAATGAACATTCCGTACACTTGTAGGGTTTTTCTCCCGTGTGAATACATAAATGGTTCACAATATCACTATTCTCATTACAGGTATAAGAACAATCGTCACATTTAAAAGCTTTCCCAACAGAAGAAGTATTTTCTTTGCCCAACCTGACTGATGATGGTAATGAATTGAACAAGACATTTCTTGTAGACATATCATTGATTGTTTCACCATGATGTTCTCTGATGTGTTGCACAAAGAAATCATCATACAGGAAGTGAGCTTGACATTGTGGACAAATGAAACCATGTGATACTCCAGTCACCTCCTCCTGTTCAGTTTTTATTTCCTTTTTGATTGGAATTACATTTTTGTTACTCTTTTCTTTATCAGCAGCTGTTGAGGATCTTTTACTCCGTGTTAACATGACAAACTTTCCTGGATAAATAACTGATTAATAAAATAAAAATACACAAACTTTCTAAATTCAAATAACAAAATCTTTAATTATCAGTGGTATAAATAAATGCAATATTATTAAATAATAATAATTAAACCACCCTCATACAACTGTATTCTATCAGTACCAAGCAGCTATAATACAGTTAATAAATATCATATTATCATAGTCATATAATAAAAATAACGAACAATATTTCAATATAGATTAAATTGGAAAAACGATATATTTACTAATTTCTACTATTGAGACAAGACAAAATCAGTGAGATTCAATTAATTGTTAGATTATGATTAATTTCTCATTTATTTGTGCAAAAAACTGCAAAATTCTCTTATTTAAATCAGAAAAATCCATTTCAAACATAGCTCTAAACATTGGTGGAGATTATTCCTAGACTATAAAGGCAATCATTAATCATACCTCATAGGTAAACTAATAATATAAAAGTGGAAGTAAACTTACATTCTTTACCCGTGAATCTGTGAATACGCTGGTATCTAATAAAGTGTGACTTATCAGAACAAATATAAAAGTTTTTATATGAGAACAGAGAACATTCCTGGCAATTTTAGAGTTTCTCTCTTGTGTGAGTACGTTGGTGTCTGACAAGACGTGATTTATCAGAGCAAGTATATGAACATTCATTACACTTGTAGGGTTTCTCTCCCGTGTGAGTCCTCATATGTATCTTGAACCGACCTTTCTGAGCACTAGAATATGAACATTCCTTGCACTTGTAGGGTTTCTCTCCCGTGTGAGTCCTCATATGTATCTTGAGATCACCTTTCTGAGCACTAGAATATGAACATTCCTTGCACTTGTAGGGTTTCTCTCCAGTGTGAGTCCTCATATGTCTCTTGAGATCACCTTTCTGAGCACTACAATAGGAACATTCCTTACACTTGTAGGGATTCTCTCCGGTGTGAGTCCTCATATGCGCTGTGAGCGAACATTTCTGAGCACTAGAATATGAACATTCCTTGCACTTGTACGGTTTCTCTCCCGTGTGAGTCCTCATATGTTTCTTAAGATCACCTTTCTGAGCACTATAATATGAACATTCCTTACACTTGTAGGGTTTCTTTCCCGTGTGAATACGTAAATGTTTCACAAGATCAATGTTCTCAGTACAGGTATTATAAGAACAATCGTCATATTTAAAAGCTTTCCCAACAGGAGAAGTATTTTCTTTGTCCAATCTGACTGATGATCGTAAAGAATCAAACAAGACATTTCTAGTAGACATATCATTGATTTTTTCACTATGATGTTCTCTGATATGTTCCACAAAGAAATTATCATAAAGGAAGTGAGCTTCACATTTCGGACAAATAAAACCATGTGATATTCCAGTCACCTCCTCCTGTTCAGTTTTTATTTCCTTTTTGATTGGAATTACATTTTTGTTACTCTTTTCTTTATCAGCAGCTGTTGAGGATCTTTTACTCCGTGTTAACATGACAAACTTTCCTGGATAAATAACTGATTAATAAAATAAAAATACACAAACTTTCTAAATTCAAATAACAAAATCTTTAATTATCAGTGGTATAAATAAATGCAATATTATTAAATAATAATAATTAAACCATCCTCATACAACTGTATTCTATCAGTACCAAGCAGCTATAATACAGTTAATAAATATCATATTATCATAGTCATATAATAAAAATAACGAACAATATTTCAATATAGATTAAAGTGGAAAACGATATATTTACTAATTTCTACTATTGAGACAAGACAAAATCAGTGAGATTCAATTAATTGTTAGATTATGATTAATTTCTCATTTATTTGTGCAAAAAACTGCAAAATTCTCTTATTTAAATCAGAAAAATCCATTTCAAACATAGCTCTAAACATTCAATGAAACTAATAAATCAATGAAACTAATAAATCAATGTTTTAGCTTATTTTACAAAGTCAAATATTTAAAACAATTAAAATTGTATAGTGCTCAATTTTTAAATGACTAGGTAGTTGATCTTTGCTATTGGAAGTTTGTCAAGGACTGGCAGCTAGCGGGGCAAGGAATGCACGGGCTTAGGGGCTTTTGTGCACACCAGAACACTAGCTCGGTACATTTTTGGAAACTAGAAGGACTGAATACTAAAATTGTTTTTGATGGAGGTTGAGGCATGTTTTTGAGAGGGACGGTATAATAGCTTGTGGTAACAACAGGCCTTTACTTTGATAGGATGAAGTTTTGGTTTTAGGACAGGGAGAAGGCATTAAGAAAATTTGCTCTTTGTTAACAAGGCAGAGGATAAGCAATGTTGGTTATAATATGTATCAATATCTAGATCTTCGTTTATCAATTTTCACTAAATATTTTTAAAAATTTAATAGGGAAGGGAATTCATCAACTTTATTAAGTACCTATCAAAAGTAAATCTTATCAATGTAATAATTCAAAAAATTGGTGGAGATTATTTCTAGACTATAAAGGCAATCATTAATCATACCTCATAGGTAAACTAATAATATAAAAGTGGAAGTAAACTTACATTCTTTACCCGTGAATCTGTGAATACGCTGGTATCTAATAAAGTGTGACTTATCAGAACAAATATAAAAGTTTTTATATGAGAACAGAGAACATTCCTGGCAATTTTATAGTTTCTCTCTTGTGTGAGTACGTTGGTGTCTGACAAGACGTGATTTATCAGAGCAAGTATATGAACATTCCTTACACTTGTAGAGTTTTTCTCCCATGTGAGTCCTCATATGTCCCTTGAGATCACCTTTCTGAGCACTACAATATGAACATTCTTTGCACTTGTAGGGTTTCTCTCCCGTGTGAGTACGTTGGTGTATAATTGCTCTAACCAGAGCCCTCTCGCTTGCAGTAACTTAATTGACGATGTCAATTCATGGCAGCTCGGCGCGGCACAGTAGCGCATCTCGCCGATCTAGCCAGAGAAGCCTCATTGCTGTGAGAAGCCTCATTGAGTGCGCGGCGCAGTAACGCATCGCGCTACAAGCAGTAACAAGCGCGTCACGCAGTACGCGTATACACATGGCTATGGATACAAGGATACAAGGATACAAGGATACAAGGATACAAGGATACAAGGATACAAGGATACAAGGATACAAGGATACAAGGATACAAAAGTGATAATTATTTTATTGAATTCACAATAGTTATAATTCTGAGATAATTTAAGGTTTCACAATTCTAGTTATTTACAAATGTGTAGGGATAAAATAGAAATGTTTTATAATACTATTTTTGAGGTCCTATAGCATTATGCATTGGCCAGTATTTGAGTGGAAATCTGGGCTCTTATAGTAGGCTGTAAAATTTTCGTTCACAGAGAGAATTGAGTGGATTGCTCTTGCTGTGGCAGTAAATTTTGTAGACTCTAGTGTTTTATCGGATAGCAGACCGGCTAGGTCAGTAATATTTTTGGGATGGAAGTTACATTTTTCTCTAACTGAGGAGTAGAGTAAACAGTCAGTTAGAACATGAATTTCGTCCTCAATAGGCTTAAGCCCCTTGCTGAAAAAGCAAAAAGTGCACCATCGATGTTCTCTTGGTACTAGGGGGGTTTCGTAACGGCCCCTCTCAATGTAAAGATTGTGGCAGCTAATACGAAACCTTGTTAAGCTTTTCCAAGCATCGGGGATCTTAACCACTCCTAAGTATGTTTCTGGTTCAAAATCATGCTTAATTTGATTGTAGAATTCTAATTTAGGTGAAGATGCCTTGGCAGATTTCCAGGTATCCACAAATTCTTCCCTCATGTTGTGACTGATTTGGGTAGAGCTTGGATTTTGAAGAGGATGAGTGGGGGAAGTTATATTTGGTGAGAAGATTAGAGATGTTGGTGTACCAAGGAAGGCCCAGCATAATCAGCTCGTGAAATGCAGCGGAGAGAAGTTCATTTTCAGTGCTTTCAAGCCGACTATAGAAATCTATGGCTACCAACCACATGACTCCCCTCATTAAGGAGGTATGTCTTGTCTGTTCTAAGAACATAGTCATCGGCCAAACAATAGTTGAATGTTTCCACTGTGACTGCATAATGCACCATAAATGCTATCGCAAATCCAATACAAATAGCCAATCTAATGAGTTTTACTGTACTCGTTGTATCCATTTAGACAAGGTTAAATACAACCCATTTAAACTACTCACTGACAATGACAACGACGACAACAACCTAGACGAATACACAACCAAAATCTCGAATACTTTAAATAATTGTAACTCATACACTGCATCTGACCTTACCAATATTCTCTGCAACCAAGTAAAGAAACAATCATCTATTCTCTTTCAAAATATTGATGGAAATAAATCAAATTTTGACAACCTTGCCATTGAAACCTGTAGGTACAAAACAAAATTCTCCGTAATAGGCCTAGCTGAAACCAACACTGGGAAAGAATTAAGCAACCTATTTCAGCTCGACGGTTATAATAGTTACTATCAGGACACAGCACCTAACAAACAAAAGGGCACTGGAGTAGCCCTTTATGTTGACGATAGATTAAATGCTACAGTAATTGAAAATATATCACAAGTCACAGAACATCTAGAAATACTTGTCTTATCATTAAGTAACGAAGATCAACCTGTTAATGTAGGTGTTTTGTATCGTCCACCAAGTGGCTGTATTTCCCAAGCTCTAGTTGAACTTTCTAACCTTCTTGATCACATGCCGAAGTTTAGTTATCTAGCTGGAGACTTTAATATCGATCTTCATGATAAAGATAACAAAAATGTACAAAAATATGAAGAAATATTGTTCAGTAAAGGATTTTGTCCGTTAATATCTATTGCTACTCACGAAAAACCAGGCTGTAAAGCATCTTGCATAGACAACATAATTACCAACGACATTGAGAATGTTATTACTTCAGGCACCCTAAAAGAACGAATAACTCACCACTCGCCTATTTTTAACATATTTAACTGGAATGTTGAAGTCAACTCTGGAAAAACTTCTATTAAACAGTATTACGATTTCTGTCAATCAAATGTTAACGGCTTCCTAGTGGATCTTGAAGATGAGCTTAAAACTAAAATAATCCATAACTTTACTGAATTCCATGACACTTACAAAAACTGCATCGAAAAATCGTTTAAACTAGAAACCCCGAAAACCTCTAAGAGAACTGTTAAGGTTAACCCTTGGATAACTCCCGGTCTCATTTGCTCAATTAATAATCAGCATAAACTGTACGAAAATTGGGTTGAGATAAGAAATAGAAAATGTAAACTCGGGGAAACTGATAACAAGGGCGGGATTTGCCAGTGCCCTGAATGCTCACTAAAACGTAGTCGCTACCTTATCTACAAAGAATACAGAAAAGTCCTAAAGAAAACACGTCAAACAGTGAAAACAGATTACTTCTCTGGTAAATTTGCAGAAAATAGCGGGAATAGTAAAAAGACCTGGGAACTAATTAATAGTATAAGAGGAAAACGGCGGCGTGAAATAAAGCCGCTGTTCACCATAGACAACGTTAAGATAACGAACAGGAGGATCATAGCAAACGAATTCAATAAGTATTTCGTATCATTGGCCTCTGACCTAAATACTGCTTACAATGAACTTGGTCAAATGAACATAAACAATCTACCTAGTTTCTATGACTATTTACCGCTCTCAAACACCTCCAGCATTTACATGCATGACTGCACAACAGACGAGGTTAGCAAAATCATATCTGAACTTAAGAACGGTAAGGCAAGTGATATTCCTATTCATGTTGTAAAACAGTCCTCAAAAATAGTCACTCCTCTACTTACTGTACTGTACAATGAATGTATGAAAGATGGCATATTCCCTGATGACCTTAAGATTGGAAGGATTAGTCCAATTTACAAGAAAGATAACCAGGAACTCCTTGAAAATTATAGACCTGTGTTAGAATCTTAATTCTATTTGTAGCTTGTTTTTGTACTTCATATTA